GTGTTTTGTATAGATTAACCATAACCTCCCTACTCTTATACTCTATGCCCCTACTAATAAAGCTCAGTACACCAAATGCCTTTTTTACTGCCTTATCTACCTGCCCCGCTACCTTTAATGATTCGCTTACTTGAACACCCAGATCTCTCTGTACGTTCACCCCCCTTAAGATTGAGCTACCAAGTCTATATTGCCTCCTATCATTTTTCCTACCTAAGTGTATCACCTCACACTTATCCATATTGAAATCCATCTGCCACATGTCAGCCCATTCCACCATTCTGTGTGTGTCTGCTTGCAGTTGGTTACAGTCCTCCTCGCTATTTACTACCCTACCTAACTTTGTATCATCTGCAAACTTGGAAATAGTGCTCTCTATGCCCAAGTCCAGATCATTAATATATATTAGAAAGAGTAGTGGTCCCAATACCGATCCCTGGGGGACACCGCTGCACACCTCCTTCCAGTTCGAGAAACACCCATTAACCACCACCCTCTGCTTTCTGTCACTCAGTCGGTTCTTAAACCAAACTGCCACTGTCCCCTAAATACTATGGGCCTCTAATTTTTTTATTAATCTCTTATGCAGTACTGTGTCAAAAGCCTTTTTGAAATTCATGTAAATAACGTCCACCGCATTTCCCTCATCAACCCTCGCAGTCACCTCTTCAAAAAATTCTATTAGATTTGTTAGGCAAGATTTGCCTTTAACAAATCCATGTTGGCTGTCTCTAATTACCTCATGTTCCTCTAAGTAGAGATTTATTCTGTCCCGGATTAAGGTCTCCAGTAGTTTTCCTATTACCAAAGTTGGGCTGACTGGCCTGTAATTTCCGGGTTTATCTTTCTGCCCCTTTTTGTAGAGGGGGGTATCACTCTACAATATATTCTGTGAAGAGCTTTGAGACGTCTCAATGCCTTGATAAGGCGCTATATCTAATGCAAGTATTATTATTCTTAATATTATTATTTTATGCATCCTAATTGTTTTGACCCCACAACCTTTGGGAGGGCAGTACATTCCACATTTGCACAATTCTGTAATGAGATGGAATTAGGGTAAAGCACTGAACATCTCTTAGGCATACGTAGGCATAAAGAAAGGTCTCTTTTAACCAATGGGTTCACATCTCTCCAGATAAGTGTTTTTTTTCTTTCCTATCAGCCTTTTTTTACATTTTGCATATAAAGCAATATATCCCCTCCCGCCTCGATTTCTCAAATGCACTCGTCGCTGGTCTTCCCAGTTCCACCATACACAAGGTCCAGCTGATACAAAACTCCACCACCTGTATCTTTACCATAATAAAATAATAATAATCCTTGCATTTAATATAGCACTTTTCACGTCTTCTCGATGTCTCAAAGCGCTTCACAGAATATGCTGTAAAGTGAATTGATTGTATATTTGTGGGCGAAACGTGGCAGCCAATTGCGCACAGCAGTGTCCCACAAACAGTCGTGAATTGAAAATGACCAATTTATTATTGTTTTGTTTTGGAGGGATTATTATTAGGTGTGTGGAGTAAGGAAATTTGCCCAAGGTTTTGTCCTGCCTGGAATTGAACCCAAGTGTCTCGCCTTCAAGGCGAGTGCTCTAACCACTGCACTACAGAACTCCACAAACTCCATGCCAAACTCCACAATCCCATCACCCCAATCCCTACCAACCTCCACTGTCTCCCTTGTCTCCAAACAGATTGACTTCAAGATTCTCACTTTCCCAATACAAGTCCCTTCATACCCTAGAAGTTCTAATAATACCATACTAATAATAATAATCCTTGTATTTGATATAGCGCCTTATCGCGTCTTCGAGACGTCTCAAAGTACTTCACAGTAAAATGAATTGACTGTATATTTTACGGGCGAAATGTGGTAACCAATTGCGCCTACAATGTGCCACTCCTCTGCCCCTTCCTTTCTCACAGCGAACACAGGCCTGCTGCCTGTTCCTCAAACCCTCCTCACCCCATTGATGGCCGAGCCTTTAATCACCCTAATCTCTGGAACTCCCTTTCTCAATCTGTCTACTTTGTCTTCTCTTCATCTATCTTTAAATCCCCCTGCAAAATTATCTCTTAGACTGTGTCTATGGTCACCTCCTCCTCCTCCTCCTCCTCCTCCTCTTCCTCCCTTGCTCAGCCTCCAACCCTGCCACTGAACCGTGCTCTGAGACACTATGCTACATGAAAGCCGCTATATAAGTGTAAGTTGTTGCTGAAATCTGTCACACTCTCCTCGGCGAAAATAAAATACTTTTAACAATGGAGTTGGATTTGTTCAGTGACTCTCTGTCTGATTGCTAAATGTGATTCAGTGACTTGGGCTAAAATTAATTCTCTGTGGGGAAAGAGTCAGAATGTTGGGCAGCCCTGGAACTTGTGCTCTTGGATCAATTTGCAACAGTCAAGGTGAGAATCCATATTTTATAATCTGAAACTGCAGCTATCCAGTTGTGAATTTTATGCTATTTCTGGCCTATTAGGCACAGCATTGATTTGTTTTTGTTTGTTACTGCACTACAAGCTTCGTAATTTGTTGTAAGCAATTTTTTTATACTCTCGTCCACAGTTGAATTGAGTTTCCTCTGTCGCTGTTATATAAACAATTCAATGGCCAGTCAATATTTGCTGATATCTCTGAGTGACTCCCATGAATCAGGCTGAGAAACATCAGTCAGATTATTACGTAACCAGGTGTCCATTTGGAATAGTTTGTAGCATTCTTGCTTCTGAGTCAGAAGGTTGTGCATTCAAGGCCCATGTCAGGAACGCTGGAGTTGCCAACCTTCTTGTGAGATGTTAAACCAAGGTCTCATCTGCCTATTTAGATGGATGTTTAAGATCCCAAGCTCTATTTAAAAAGAAAAGCGAGTTTCTCCTGATGTCCCAGCTGAAATGCTCTAACCACTGGAGTCCTGTGGCTCAGTGGTTAGAGCACTCACTTTGCAAGTGAGAGACCTGAGTTCAATTCCAGGCAGAGGGCGAAACCTTGGGCAAGTTTCCTTACTCCACACAGAGCCTAATAATAATCCCTCCAAAACAAACAATAATAAATTGGTCATTTTCAATCTTCGACTGCTTGTGGGACATTGCTGTGGGCAATTGGCTGCCGCGTTCGCCCACAAATATACAGTCAATTCACTTTACAGTGTGTTCTGTGAAGTGCTTTGGGACGTCCTCCCGACGTGAAAAGCGCTATATCAAATGCAAGGATTATTATTATTATTATTAATATAAATCCCTCAGATAAAATTGTTTATTGACTTCCGTGGACACGCTTTCAGCCACTGCGCCCCAAAGCTTTGGAACTCTCTCCCTCAATCCCTCTGCCTTGCCCCTCCTGCCCCCCTTTTAGATCATGACTGAAGACCTTCCTCTTTGACCATCCTTACGCCCACCCCGGCTTGGCATCAGGCTTTGTCACTCTTTGTCGCTCTGAGATGCTGTCCGGTGTGAAGGGCGCTATATAAATGCAAGCTGTTGTCCATTTGAATTGCAGCTATTCGATGCTATGTTTTGCTAAACTCTGATATAATGTATGTTTAGTAATTTAGTGGACAGCAAAGGGATGTACAAAGAGATGAAAATGATGACCCATTGTATGTTAATTCTCACCAGTGATAATTTGTTCTTGAAAGAAACTGACATAACTGACAAAAATCAAAGTTTAGCTAATCACTGGCCACAATTCATTGGCAGACATGCTCATTAACTGTCATGGGTAAGCTTTGGGCCCAACTGTTGCACTGGAGTTGGGGGGAAGGGGTATTCACATTTGCTGTCAGGCATTGGCGGGGCAGAACTTTAAATGATGTGATAATAAGAAGAATAATCATTGCATTTGATATTGCGCCTTATCACATTGTTGAGACATTTCAAAGAGCTTCACAGAATATATTGTAAAGTAAATTGATGTGTATTTTGTGGGGTGAATCGAGGCGGCCAATTTTGAACAGCAGTGTCCCCAAACAGTTGTGGATGAAATAACCAAAGTAACCAGCAGCGATAATTAACATCTTTCACTCCACAGGTTACAGCTTTCACTCCACAGTCATTTTTTGTGGAACCTTTAGATAGCAAGAAGCAGGGTGGTGAGGCAAACCAGAGAGGTATAGAACTTTACAGCATATAAGGAGGCCATTTGTCCCATTATGTCTATGCTGCCTTTTTTGAAAGAGCAATGCATTCAGTCCCATTTACCCGTCTTTTCTCCTGTAAATTACTCCTTTTAGATATTGATCAAATTTCCTCTTGAAAGCTAACATAGATCCTGCCTCAACCACTGCTCCCCGCAGTTACTTGCCAGCCGGAAGAAACAATTTCTTCCTATCTCCTCGTTCAGAACTCCTCATAATTTTAAAGATCTCTGATGGATTGCTCTCAACCGTCTATGATCTGGTGAAAGTAATCTAGCTTCTCTTGTCTCATAAATCAGACAGCACATTACTGGGATTATCCTAGTAAATCTCCTCTGCGCCCCTCTATAACCCTGTGACTGTATGACATCTTTCCTAAACTGGAATGACCACAACTGGACACACTACTCCACCAGTGATGTTACTACTGATTTATACAAGTTAATCATCAGCTTTTTGGTTTTATATTCTATGTCCCTATTTTTAAAATCTAGGATCCCATTAGCTTTGTACACCTATCTTCCCCCTTTAAAGATTTATGTATATTAACGCCTAGGTCTCTAGTCTTTTTAAAAATGTTACCATTTAGCATACAATTTCTCTCCTTATTCTTCTTCCCAAAATGGATAAGGTCACGTTATCTGCATCTCTCTACCTAATCTCCTTCAAAATATACAGCCACTACACTTTAAAGTAAAATCCTATGAATCTCTTTGAGACTCCAGAAAGGCGCTATATCAAAAGTAAGGTTTATTTATAATTTACTAGTGTGTCTTTCTGTAAAGCACACGTGCCAAGGTGTGCATCTACGATATTGCAGAACAACATTTTAAATGTTTTTTTCTTTGTGTTTTCACAGCTATAAAGTATGATGACGTTGATGTGATTGGGTACACTGCATGGTCACTTGTGGATGGCTTTGAGTGGGACGCTGGTTACAGTATCCGACGAGGATTGTTTTATGTTGACATGCTAAGCAAAGAGAAGGAGAGAATCCCCAAATCCTCTGCTCTATTCTACCAGCAAGTGATAGCAGATCGAGGATTCCCCCCATCACCAGAAAACAGACCTATTAGAGGATTGTTTCCCTGCAACTTTTCTTGGGGCATTTCTGAAGACGTCATACAGGTATTTTTGAAAATATGTTTTTAAAATGAAAACAAAATATGTATTTGTTCATCACAAGCATTAGTTATCAGCTGATCATTAACTATGCTTACTACACCTCCATTCATTTCCACCTAAGTACCCTTAATAGTCTCACTGGTTTTGCAGTTTGTTGTTTGCCTGAGATACTGTAGCACTGCTCTGTTAATCGTGATGTGCCTATATAACTATATAACATTTTAAAAAATCCTTAAAGTGACTGAATTCATTGCCAACCATAATTGGCTACTACAATTTTAAAATTATGATATTCCTTAAAAATGATATTCGTTAAAACTGTCCAGTCTTCATTTTGTGTATACGCATAAGAGATGCATCATAGTTGCATAGTACAGTTAATTACTTCAAACTCTGTTTATTTTCCATGTTCTTTGTGTTTTATTTGATTTAGAATGTAATTTTACGTTATCTGCTTCTATATCTAGTGTGATCTTCTGAAACCTAGCAACCCACTTGCTCCCTCTGCTTGGCAGGCACTGGCTTGCTTCACGTTTCTCACCCTGTCCACCCCACCAACAAGGTCAGAAAGGCCTTCAGCCTTTCTGCCCCCACTCTCTTGACTTCCGTTCCTTCTCCTCCTTCAAGGTCCATCTCAAGACCTTCCTCATTGATTGAGTCTTCAGGCATCTTCCCACGCCAACCCCCTTGGCCGCTACCTCTCCCGAATCCAAACCCCAGCTCGGGTGCAAACAGCAACAACAACAACTTGCATTTATATAGGGCCACTCATGCAAGTAGCGTCTCAGTGTGCTTGACAGTGGTGGAGCATGATGCCGAGCCAGTGGGAGGTGATGATAGGGACAGTCGAAGAGGAAGATCTTCAGGTGCGATCTGAAGATGGGGGAGGAAAGGGCAAAGTAGAGGAACAGAGGAAGAGTGTTCCAGAGTTTTGGGGCATAGTGGCTGAAAGCGTGGCCACTGATTGTGGGAAAGAGGGCACAAGGGACATGCAGGTGTTGGGAGCCAGTCAAGTGGAGGTAGTGGGTAGTGGGTTGGGGAGTAAACAGGTCAGAGCGGTAGGGAGGTACTAGTTCATGAAAGGATTCGAAAATGAGTGAGAGGATCTTGAAATTGATCCGTTCGGCCAAAAGGAGCCAGTGGAGCCTGGCTAGAACTGGTGTGATGGGACTACAGAGTTTAGTATGGGTGAGTATGTGGGCAGCGGAGTTTTGGATCAGTTGGATCTTGTTTGGTGGATCTGGGAAGACCGGCGAAGAGGGCATTTGAAAAGGCAAGTCGGGATATAAAAAATTATAGGGCTGCCTAATAGATTGGTGGCAAGATCAATGCCCAATGGACCTGGAAGATTGGTGTCTATTAGCCTGCAGCAGGCTCATTCAATCATGAATGTCTAACAGATCCACTGACTTAGTGTTGAGTGCAGTGGTATTTCTTGTATAAGGTTTCATGCACACTACTGGAATTTGAAATTCAAACTGGTTGTTGAAGACAGTGAAGGGATGGAGAGCTGTAGACTAGCTAACTAATAATAGCGTATGATGATAATCCTTGCATTGGATATAATGCCGAAAACATCAAACCATTTCTAAGTGCTTCACAGTGAATCACTGTCAAATCCATTGACTGTGAATTTGTAGGCAGACATCGCAGTCAGTTTGCACACAGCAAGAAACAGCCAAACAGCTATGACCTGAAAGGCACATTTATCTAGAGGGTTGTTGTCCAGGTCTCTGTGAGTAATCCCCGTCTCTCTTTTGAATAGTGTCTTGGGGTCTTTAACATCGGTATCATGTGAAAATGGCCTTTAACCCGATTGATCTTCAACAAAAGAAGCAAGCATTTATCAGTGAAAATCGGTAAAGTCATGACTTTATTGATCCTTATGCATGGAGCATAGTCCATGGAGGGAGGCAGAGAGGTTAGGTTCAGTTTATGGAAATGTGGGACTGAAAGTATATTGTGGAGTTTTTGCTGAATTCATTTTGGGTTTAGGGAGCTGAAGCTTCATCAAAGAGACAGAGTGGATGCGGTACGGTTCACAATCTGCTTTGCCTGCTTTGTGTAGGGAGTAGGAGTTGAATGGGGAGTATGAACTAGTTGGGCCAAATAGTCTTATTTCCGTGCTGTAACGTTGTATTTAATTCAATGTAATTCAAGATGTGATGAAGGATCCTTTGTAAACTATCTTCTCTTTTAGATACTATTTGACCTGCTGTAGTTTTCGGTGAACACAAGAAGACATGCTACAGGATGTGTACAAACTTGCACAAAATACAAGCCAATAAACTGTTTCCCTGTGCTTGCATTTCTGACCCGAGCTGATAATGCTCAATTTCAACGCTTTCAATTGGCAACATTTTAATTCTGTTTTGCGCAATGTCAAATTAGGTCCAAAATGTTTTGCTGATTATGTTAATTTGGCACAAATTCAAAAAATCGATTTGGATTCAAATAACACTCATCCTTATTTTACACCTCATACATTATGCAGCTATACTGTGCTTGGGAAGACAGTGAGGAAGATATAAAGCTGTAAGGATTCCTCTGCACACAATAAACTGCATCCAAAGGTGCAGCTCCCTCTAGTGCCTACGTTCATTATATGACCACGAGAAGACAATGGTCTCATTTTCCTTTACCATTTGTTGCTAGAGAGGGAAATCCGATCTTTGCCGTTAAAGAAGCATAGAAGCGGTATATCAATTACAGATGTGTAGCATTTTGGATTAGGCTATTCTGGAAGAAAGTATAATGGCATTCTAAATGCATTCAGAATAATACTTTGCAATTGATATTTATATAGTGCATTTCACATCGGAAGGACATCTCAAACAACAACAACAATAACATTTCTATAACGCCTTTCAGGGCGCAAGGATGTCCCAAGGCGCTGGACAATCAGTGTTTTGGACTGGCTGGGCACCTGAGCCAGGGGAAGCAACAAAGCAACATATAATAAGCAAGTGATTATGGTATTTAGCAGATGTTATAACCATTGTTAAGGTGCTGTCGTCCAAAATTAACTAATTTGAGTCCAATTTACAGGGTTCTATTTCCTTAATAAAGAAATTTGTTCCACTGTGTTTGTAGTTCTGACAAAGGTCTGATTTATGGTAGAAATACATTATAAGACACTTTATTATAGCGCAAGTTCATATGTAGGGGTGGACCCTGACAATTACTTATTAAAAAAAACAAATATGTGCATCATCTCCAATTGGAGTCCTGTAGCTCAGTGGTTAGACCACTAGCCTTGCAAGCGAGAGAGCTGCGTTTGATTCCTGGCAGGGTAAAACCTTGAGCAAGTTTCCTTACTCCGCACCCCGATAATAATCTCTCAAGAAAAAAAATAATACATTTGTCACTTCAATCCTCGACTGTTTGTGGGACACTGCTGTGCGCAATTGGCTGCCGCGTTTCGCCCGCAAATATACAATCAGTTCACTTTACAGTATATTCTGCGAAGCGTTTTGAGATGTCTAGAAGACGTGAAAAGCGCTATATCAAATGCAAGGATTATTATTTTTATTATTATCGATGGTTCAAAATGCTGGTCAGAGTATGTGAAGCCTTGTTAGTCTGTCATTTTGGCTTCATAGCGGGGTAGCGTCCCGGAGTGCTTCACACTGGCAGAGTCTAACAACGAGCCAGGAGGAGGGCAAGGGGGGAGGTGAGTGTAAGCACAAACAAAAAGGAAAGTCTTTAGGCGGGATTTGAAGGTGAGAAGGGAGGGGGCAAGGCAGAGGGATTGAGGTAGAGAGTTCCTGGGTCTTGTGACATAGTGGCTGAAGGCACGGCCACCGATGGTGGAACGGAGGACAAATAGGAAGCTAGAGACAGCCAAGCGGAGGCAGCGGGTGGGGAAGTGGAGGGTACGCAGGTCGGATAGGTAGGGAGGTGCAAGGGAATGAAGTGTTTTGTAAATGAGTCAAAGGATCTCGAAATCGATCTGTACAGTGATTAATAACCAATGGAGCCTGGCTAGGATTGGAGCCTGCCTCGGACTGGTGTGATATGGAAAGTTACCCTTGCAGAATTAGACCTGCACAAAAAATATGACTATATTCCAGATCTCAGAAAATACAGAAGAGATCCAGAAACCCTTTTCCTGCTTTGATCTCTACTCTGGAAGTAGATCATGTGGAAGTGAGATGATGTATTTCCTTTCTATTTCTTGTAGGATGCTAAGGTTTCCCTGAACCCATTCCATGTGATAGGATGAGATTGCACCCAAACCAATCCATGTGAAATGTTTATTGTTTCTGCAGTCTGAAGGCTTTCATCTATTCAGTCTGAATTGGACACACACTTTGGATCCGGAGTGGATGGGCTGTGGTATTGCCCCAACTAACCTCTCCACATTCCGAAATATAAACTAAACTAAACATCATAATAATCCTTGCATTTGATACTGCGCCTTATCACTTTATTGAGACGTCTCAAAGAGCTTCACAGAATATACTGTAAAGTGGAATGACTGTGTATTTTGTGGGCGAAACATGGCAGCCAATTGCGCACGGCAGTGTCACACAAACAGTCGTGGATTGAGTGATCATTTTATTTTTCTGGAGGGATTATTACCCCTGGAAAACAATCTGCCGATCGACTAACAACTGGGTTCCTAGTTACTGCTAGGCAAACTGAGGCATGTGGAGTAAGGAAACTTAAGGTTTTGCCTTTTCCAGAAATCAAACCCTTGTCCTCTCACTTGTGAGGCGGGTGCGTTAACTATTACGCTACAGGACTCCACATCTCCTCACACACTGTTTTGTTCAAACAATATTAAATGGTGGCCCAGGTGATGACGTTGTCATGTCTTCGTTCTTGCCTTGCTACAGGAAGACACCTAGTTTAAGGGTCAGCACCTGATGAGTTTATCCTTGAGTGAGGAGGAGGTTGATTCCAGCAGCTAAATGGGTAAGCAAACTTCCAGCCTCCTCCTGTCACTTCTCCCTTCCCCATCCTGCCACATAAAGTAATGTTCTCTGTATACACTAATC